GAGTAAAGCATATACAGCCCACCCTCCAGATGTTGCCTGGAGGAGAGTGAGCTGGTTGTGACTCTGCTGCACTTTTAGGAAGTTTCAAGTTCCTTGTGCCTCTGGTGGTGTGAATATCCCAGTGCCCTGAGCATGATGCCACATTTCCCCCACAACCCTGACCCTAAACAAGGCCAACTGCTTCTTCTGGGGCTCAGCCAAGAAACTGTGATTTTTCCCACAAGGAAGGAGAGGTTGACTGTCTCGGGCTTACAGAGAGTTGACATAACTGTATGAGGTCATCTATATAAACCCACACATGCTACACTTCATCATCAGTTTGAGGGATTTCTAAGGGTAACTCTGGCCTCCTGCACTTTTTGCTGCCTTTACAGCCTAATATCTAGGTGAGATGTGGCTCTACCATAATCCCATTTCAGGGTGAGAATAGTGACAGTGCCAGAGTTTTCAGCTTTCCTCTTAGCCACAGAACGCTTTCTTCAAATTTGACTTATGTTAGACTCAAGGATATTTAATAAGTAAAGGCTGAGCTCCAATCCTGTTCAAAATAGGAATTCCACTACCTCAAATAGTATCCTCTTTAAGAGTAATGATGGAACAAACTGCCCTAACAATTATATACCAGGAATAGCTGGTAATCTGATCTTTATTAAATGGACCCAGTGACACACATTTGTTTTATATGAACACATGCTTCTTTGCCATGGTGGCCAGGAAGCTCAGAGTTACAACTGTGACTACTTTAGCCGTTCATTTGTTCATCCCCGGTTTCAAATTATTTTTCTACTCTTGTTTTCTCTCCAATCTCATTTTCTCAAAAAAAAAAAAAAAATTTTTTTTTTTTTTTTTTGAGACAGTCTTGCTCTGTTGCCCAGGCTAGAGTGTAGTGGTGCAATCTCAGCTCACTGCAACCTCTGCCTCTCAGGTTCAAGCAATTATCCTGCCTCAGCCTCTTGAGTAGCTGGGATTGCAGGTGTGTGCCACCATGCCCAGCTAATTTTATGTGTGTTTTTAGTAGAGATGGGGTTTTGCCATGCTGCCTAGGCTGGACTCAAACTCCTGGGCTCAAGCAATCCACTTGCCTTGGCCTCTCAAAGTGCTGGAATTACAGGTATGACTCACTGCACCCGGCCTCGTCAAATACTTTTCAAAGGCTTGTACTACTCACTGTGTATAAAATTTGTTAGTCCATGTTAGGACTTTTTGGAGAAAGGCAGATCATAAATTAATTAAGTGCTATTTCTCCAAGTGCTGGACATGAAGGCATATATTATGAGTTGAATTGTGTCCCCTGAAAAGGTCATTGAGGCCCTAACTCCTAGTACCTATGACTGTGACCTTATTTGGAAATAGGGCCTTTGCAGATGATCAAGTTAAGATGAAGTCATTAGGTTGGGCATTAATCTGTCTTTATAAAAATGGCAGATTTGGACACAGAGACAGAGACATACATGGCGAATACCATGTGCAGATTGGAGTTACGTTGCTACGAGCCAAGGAACGATCAGAAGTTAGGAGAGAGGCCGGGAATGGACCACCCCCCAGTGCCTTCAGTAGATAGCTCTTGCCAACATCTTGAATTTAGACTTGGAGCCTCAAGAACTGTGAGATGATCCATTTCCATTGTGTAAGCCACTCTGATCGCAGCATTTTGTTACGGCCACCCTGGTGAACTAATACTACCGTATGCCAGAAGATTCAACGGATACATGGTTCAACTTAAAATATTAATAGCAATACATTGATATTGATGAGCATGAGAAAAAAGTATAACAAGTGACTCAAACCTGAGTTTCAGCCATGTTACTGCTTAGGACTAGGCTGATGTGGGTATGTCATTAGGCAAATGCTAGTTCAGTTGGCACACGAGAGGCTTACAGTGGAGCAGTGAAGAGCAGAGATTCTGTAGCCAAGGTTCTCAAATACTGGCTTCATCCCTTACAGGCTGTGTGACCTTGGACAGACTCCGCAACATCTCTGTGCCCCGTCTCCTCTCTACAACAATATCGATAATAGCAGCACCTACTGCCCGGGACTGTGTGGATGATTAAACGCAAGATTACACATGCAGTCCTACACACAGCTTGGGAGCTAGTTCAGTGCTTTGTAAGTACTAGCTCTTAATTTTGTTACCTGAATATGGAAAAAATAGTAATCATGGCACATACACAAAAGAGGGAAGTCCCAGCTAGCTCAGTAGGATGCTGGGAGAGGTACGTGACCACCAGTGTGCCGCTCCCGCCTGACTAGGGGTTCTGGGGGGTTTGTGCAGTGGCAGACTTTTTCACCAAGTTGTTCTGGAGGAACTTCTGAAAAGCCATGTAGATTGGTTCACATACAGTGAAGATGGTATCAGTGAGATAGACTGGAGGCTTGTCAGCCTGAGCAGCAGTCGGCGAGGCCAATCCAGGAGATGCAGAAAGAAGAACGGGCACCCAGGACTGCCGCCCTGACTCCCCACCTGTTGTGGGAGCTCCCGGAGCAGACTCAGGCCTCGATCCCACCCCATGCCTTTTCTCCTCCCTCTCCCCTTCTCAGTTCCCATCTGACCAAAGCTGAGAGGACCAAAATTTGCCAGACTTTTCTGACACCTTCCATGTTCTACTTGGCTCTCGACCCCTACAGATCATTTCTCCATTATCTATTTAACAAGGGGACACCTCTGTGATGCTATCGGCTCACGCCGACTGGGGTTGCCTCCCACTTCTACCTTCCTCGGGTCCCAGGCAGGCCTCTTTCCAGGCTCTGGGTCCCACCAAGAAGAAGTCCCCAGGAACCAGTCTGGTGCTAGCTCTGCCCCACTGGAGTCTGGCTCCTCCAACACCTTGAATTTAGACTTGGTGCCTCGAGAATTGTTGGGATGATCCATCTCCATTGTTTAAGGCACTCTGATTTCGGTACTTTGAAGGCCCCACTGGGATGCAGGCTCCAGGTGGCCACAGCTCTTCCTTGGACACTACGGGCTGAAGCAGGATGCACATCAGACACCTAGGACAGGGGTCTTGGCACTGTGTGGCTTGTTTACTCACAGACCCCAGCTCCGGGACCTGGGGGCGCCCCAGTCTCCTTTGCTAGTGACACAGACTCAGATCCTACCCCAGTACATTGGTCTGTTTTCTATTGCTTATAACAGAATAACTGAAACTAGGTATTTCTAAAGGAAAGGAACTTAGTTCTTATAGTTACAGCAGCTGAGAAGTCCAAGGTCAGGGTGCTGCATCTGGTGAGGGCCTTCCTGCTGGTGGGGCTCTGCAGAGTCCCAAGGCAGTGCGTGGTGGGGCACAAGTGTGCTAGCTCAGGTCTCTCTTCCTCTTCCCGTAAAGCCACCAGTCCCACTCCCGTGATAACCCTTTAATCCATTAACCCACGAATGCATTCATCCATTGGACAAGCCTTCATGACCTCTTCACCTCTTAAAGGGCCCAACTCTCAATACTGCCACAGTGGGGATTAAATTTCAACATGAGTCTTAGAGGCGGCAAATATTCAAACCATAGTACCCAGCCACATGACAAGCCGTGGCCCCCCATCACTGCAGGCTCCCCAGTGCCCAGGTTCTCACCCTAGGTTGTTTAGGATAGAAAGTCACAACTAGTCTCATACCTCCAACTGGCTCCGTAGCAAGCCCAGTTACTGTGTGGGTCCATCCCCTGGTAACATCGAGACTGAGCCCCCACCTCTACATCTTCAATCACCTGCTCTCTTCCCTGGACCCTTCGCATCCTCCCCAGCTCCCTAAAGGCCAGGCTTCTGTAGCTTCATGTGGCAGCCAGAGGAATCTTGTTGAAATGTAAACCAAGTGATGGCAGCCCCGGCTACAAAGCCTCAGCTGCCACTTGCCCGCTCTGTGCCTCAGTTCCTCATCTGTGAAATGGGGATAATTGCAGAGCCTACCTTAAAGGCTAGTTATAAGGATTTTATGAGATGACAGGAGTAAAAGCTTACAACAGTGGCTGGCTTGCCCTAAGTGGTGAATAAATGTAACCTCCCATTTCATTAGAAGAGAGACAGAGATGGTCTTTTCACCATCAACTCTTTTGTACCTTCAGAACTGTGCATTATTTGCACATGTTATTACTCATCTAAAGTAAGCAAGTTCATTTACGAGTAAACCAAAAATAAAGGAAATTTTCAATGATAACCACACCTTGGTTAGGGAATTGGAAAGTCACTGTCATGGTTACTTTCTTTTTTTGAGACGAAGTTTTGCTCTTGTCGCCCAGGCTGGAGTGAAGTGGCACAATCTTGGCTCACTGACTTTCTAACCTCTGCCTCCAGGGCTCAAGCGATTCTTCTGCCCCAGCCTCCGGAGTAGTGGGATTACAGGCATGAGCCACCATACCCAGCTATTTTTTGTATTTTTAGTAGAGACGGGGTTTCACCACGTTGACCAGGCTGGTCTCAATCTCCTGACCTCAAGTGATCCTCCCGCCTCTGCCTCCCAAAGTGCTGGGATCACAGGTGTGAGCCACCAAGCCTGTTATCATGGTTACTTTTATGCGTTGACTTGGCTGGGCCACGAGGAACCCAGATATCTGGTCAAAAATTATTCAGAGTGTTTCTGAAAGAGTGTTTCTGGATGACATTAACATATTCATCAGGAGAGTAAGGCAGATTGCCCTCCGCCATGTGAGTGGGCCTCAGCCAATCAGTTGACAGCTTGGATCACACAAAAAGACCAGCCCTCCCCCAAGGGAAGGAGACGTCTCCAGCCAACTGCCTTTGGACTTCACCTCCAACATGGCTCTTCCTGCATGGCGGCCTCTGAACTAGAGCACTGGCTCCTCTGCATTTGCATGGGCCGATTCCTTATCCTAAACTCTCTCTCTCACTCTCTCTCCGTATCCTTTTAGTTCTGGTGCTCTGCACACCCCTCCCTAGTACATTTGCAGCTCGGCCCTCCTCAAGGAGGGTAATGAAGTGGGGCCTTCCATCACGGCACCGCAGAGTGACCCAGCCCCCGCCCTGCTCCCCTGCTCAGGGCGCCTTGGAGCTCTTACTGGAGCACATCCTCTCCTGGTCTGGGAACACGGCAGGAGCGTGGGGAGTCAGGTTTGGCTCAGGTTTGGTGGGGATGAAAACCTCAGCATTGTCCTTCCGCTTCGCAGACAAATTCCTTTCCCTTTTATGACCTGTAGGAAAACAACTGTTTAATGTAAGACACTGAGCGCAAGCAAGTTGGGCATTCTGTTCAGGCGTTTGTTCATTACTCATTCACTTGCTCATTCGACAAATGTCTACGGAACTACTTTGTGTAGTTTGGGATTAGAGATGTGAATAATGCAGGCGACGAAACAAGTTTGCTGAGAGCCATGGTGAGCCCAGCACCACATTTTGGTAAGTACATAAAAGATTCTGGGACAGGCATAGGTTTTCAAATTTTAACATTTCTTGGCTGGGCGGCCAGGAGGTGCTTCACACCTATAATCCCGGTGCTTTGGGAGGCCGAGGTGGGAGAATTGCTTGAGTCCAGGAGTTAAAGACCAGCCTAAGTAACATAGTGAGACTCTGTCACTACAAAAAATGAAAACAATAGGCTGGGCGCGGTGGCTCACGCCTGTAATCCCAGCACTTTAGGAGGCCAAGGCGAGTGGATCACCTGAAGTCAGGAGTTTGAGACCAGCCTGGCTCACATGGCGAAAACCCATCTCTACTTAAAAGACAAAAATTAGCTGTGTGGGGTGGCAGGCACCTGTCATCCCAGCTAGTTAGGAGACTGACACGCAACAATTGCTTGAACGCAGGAGGTGGAGATTGCAGTGAGCCAAGATTGCGCCACTGCACTCCAGCCTGCGGGACAGGGCAAGACTCCGTCTCAAAAACAAACAAACAAACAACAAAAAAAATCCCAGGTGTGGTGGGACGTGCTTGTAGTCCCAGCTACTCTGGAGGCTGTGGCAGGAGAATCACCCCCAGAAATCTGAGGCTGCAGTGAGCTATGATCGTGCTACTGCACTCAGCCTGGGGCACAGGGCGAAACCTTATCTCAAAAAAAAATGAAAACAAAACATGAAAAATGTCAAGAAATTCAAATTCTTTCTTTTCCCTTTAAGCCCCAGTATCACTCAACCTGTGCCTGGCATCAACTGTCCCGTAGCCTGTTCCTTCACACCCGGGAATGACTGTCATATCCTCTGCTTCTCCGGGATGGGACTCGGTCACTTCTTCAGAGCCCCGTCCGCTTCCTCCCTGTCTCCCCACAGCCATGCTGTCTGCAGGCCCAGTGGGTTCCACACAGGACTGTTATTAACACGGCTCTGATCACTTGCTGCTCCCGCAGGTGCGCCTAGCACCTTTGTTTATTTGACAGAGGTTCCCTGAGGGGCTGCACTGTGCCACGTGTGTGCTGCACGCTGCGGAAGTGGAGGGTAAGGGTCGGCCTGCCCACAGGCTGGTGGATGGGGAGGTGCGGTGGGTGGAGAGAAAGACAACTGGGATTGTGATCCCAGGGCCATGACGATGCTACGTGAGCGCGAGGCAGGGGAGGGCTGACCTGGGGGGATGTGGTGCGAGTGCGAAGGCGGCTTTGTGGAAGAAGCAACTTCGGAAAAAGTTGCAGGAGGGAAAGGCAGAGAGCCAGGATTCAGGGTTCTGAGTGGAGCGGAAAGGGACTGTGGTCATCTGGGCAGAGGGAACAGCTGAGCAAGGGCCTGGGGTGAAAGAGAACATGGTGGGAGCACGCTGGATGGACAAATGTCTTCTCTGAGATGTCAATTATTGGGTGTGGATTTTCCAGGGCTGAATTTTTTTTTTCTTTTTTTTTTGAGAGGGTCTCATTCTCACCCAAACTGGAGTTCAGTGGCATGATCATGGCTCACTGCAGCCTCAATTCCCCAGACTTAAGCACTCCTCCTGCCTCAGCCACCCAAGCAGCTGGGACTAAAGGTGTGCACTACCATGCCTGGCTAATTTTTAAAACGTTTTTTTGGTAGAGATGGGGTCTTGCCATGTTTCCCAGGCTGATCTGGAACTCAAGTGATCCTCCCGCCTTGGCTGCCAAAACTGTTGGGATCACAGGCATGAGCCACTGTGCCCAGCCCCCTCCAAACTCATACATTGAAATCCTAGCCGCCAATACCCTGACTGTGACTGTTTTGGGCACAAGGCCTTTAAAGAGGTAATTAAGTAAAAACAAGGTCATATGGGTGGGCCCTAGTCCAATATAATTGCTGTTCTCCTAAGAGATGAGGACACAGACATGCCCCAGAGGGATGACCACGTGAAGACACAGAGAAAACAGCCGTCTACAAGCCACAAAGAGAGGCCTCAGAAGAAACTGACTCTTGATCTCAGGCTTCCAGTCTGCAGAACCATGAGACAATAAACATCTGCTGTTTAAGCCTCCGAGTCTGTGGCACTTCTTCCTGGCAACCCCAGCAAACTGATACACGGTCTGATTCCAAATATTCCCTCATTTCTCTTTCCTGAGGTTCACCATGGTTCAGAAAAGATTGTCTTCTCCTAGGGCTTTTAAGCTTGTAGGTCTGGGAGAAGAAAGAGGGAAGAGAGCAGAAGGGAAAAGGGAGAGGGAAGAAGGGAGATGGGAGATGATGGAGACAGACAGGGAACAGAAGAGGAAGAGAGAGAAGAAAGAAGGGAGACAGGAGATGATGGAGACAGACGGAAAGGAGGAGGAAGAGGGAGAGGGGAGAAGGGAGATGGGAGATGATGGAGACAGAGAGGGAGAGGAAGAGGGAGAGGGGAGAAAATGGGTCTTGCTACATCTCAGAACTTTTCAGTTACTCGTCAATAAATAGTCCCTTAGTTTAAGCTACTCTGTATTAGCCAACTGGTTTGTAGATACTGCAAAACACCTTACAATGTACAGAACAGACACCTACAACTATCTGCCAGGAATTTACCCTCTGGAACTTCAGGGCCACAAGGAAGCCTTTGGGAAGCTCTACGTCTTGCAGTCAACAGAGACCTGACTGATACACCTCACTGGCCTGTGAGGCACTCTACCCAAAGCGGAATTCAAAGGACCACTGGAAGTTTAAGTCCTGCTATTAGAGGCAGAGATATCAATGACAAAGAAATGATACACAAGACAGAGCTCACTTTTGGAAGCCGGGTTAAATTCCAGCACCACGAGGGTGTCTGGGCCCGGGGGAGGGCGTCCTTCTGTCTCCTGTTCGCCGGGAACATCCTTCTGTACCAAGTCCCCACTGGAAGGAGGGCGGTCGTCTCTGGGATGGCCCACCAGCGCTGGGTCCTCTGGCTCAGGCTCAGAGAGTATATCTTCCTCAATAGAGTCATACTCATCGCTGGAACAATCCTTTTGTTTCCTTTGTACATTTACGCTCAGTTTCAGGCTTTTTCTCAGCTCCTGCAAAAAGCCCAGAAGAGAGATGAGAGATAAATATGGTACCTTGAGAAAAACTCATTTGAAAATAGATCACTTGAACCAAAGAAGTATTCTCCCCAATCTAACATTTAACAATATCATCTCCACCCTTGTGTTGTCATTGCTTTGAAGGTAACAAAACAGAGGGCAGGGGAAAACTAGCAACTCCCTAGACGGAGCAGTACTGTTAATATTAATTGTGGTGTCTGTATCCCCGAGATGCCAGGGGAAGGTAGGGGGAGTGCGCACGTGAAGGAGAGGGAGAGAGAAACAGACAATATGGCTTGTTAAAATCTGGGGCTTGTTCAAGCAGATTGCGGAGTCCCACCCACTGATTCAGCGGGTCTGGGATGGGGCCTGAGGATTTACATTTCTAATAAGGTGATCCTGATATTGCTGGTGCAGGGACCTCACTTTGAATATGAACTCCCAAAGGCCTCCAAATGACTCTGAAACTCCAGATGGTAAAATGCCTGGCAGGTAGTTGTTGGGAGCTGTCCCGCATATTGTAAGGTGTTGAGCAGCATCGAAATGTCATACTATTTAGCGCTTAACTACAACGGCTTGAAATTTTTTTGTGTGTTTCTTTTGTCTGCATGAAATTGTAGATTCCTTACGGCTAAGCATTAAGATCTATACTTAGAGTGACCAGGACATGAATCACCCAAACCAAGATACCAAGATACTTCAGAAAGAAAGAGAGCACTACTATATTTACACTGGGACAAAAAGTATAAACGGAGCTGGGACAGTGGCTCGTGTCTGTAATCCCAGCACTTTGGGAGGCCGAGGCAAAAGGACTGCTTGAGACCGTGTGTTCAAGACCAGCCTGGGCAACATAGTAAGACCCTGTCTCTACAGAAAACAAACAAAAATTAGCTGGGTATGGTGATGCATGCCTATAGTCCCAGCTACTCGGGAGGTTGAGGTAGGAGGATCACCTGAGCTTGGGAAGTTGAGGCTGCAGTGAGGTATGATCGCCACTGCACTCTAGCCTGGACACACACACACACACACACACACACACACACACACTGACAGGACTGTTTGGGCAAACCAGTATGTTTGGTCAGCCTAGCTATACTACCCCTTCTAGCCTGTATAGTATCCAATGTAGTTCTAAGAAAATGAGAAGCAGTCAATAAAGGTTTGATAATTGACCAATAAACCTAATAGTTTTCATAGTAGGCTGAATAAGGGCTCCCCAAAGATGTCCATGTCCTTATCCCTGGAACCTATGAACTCCTGAGGGCTCAGCAGGAAGTGAGGAACACTGTGTAGAACACTTTCATCATCTTAGAGAAATCATCCTACACAGATGATAGAAATATAGATGTTACAGGCACCACTGGTGAGGACTCAGGAAATGAACATGTAACCGAAAACTGGAGCCCAGGGAATCCTGTTACGTAGCAGCAGAGCTCAGCTGATTGTGTCCTACAGTGCTGTGAAAAGCAGAACTTGTAAGAGATGAACTTGGATATTTAACTCAGGAGATCTCCAAGCAAAGTGCTGAAGATTCAGTCTGTTTTTCTCTCGCTGCCTAAAGTAAAAGGTGAGAGAAAAGAGACAGACTGAGGGAAGAACTGTTAAGGAAAAGGGAACCAGGACTTGGCGATTCAGATGATTTTTAGCTTATCCAGATTGCAGAAGATTCTAAAATTAGGAGATTCACTGTCAGAAAAGTATGCTATGGAGAGAAAACTAAAGGTGTGGCTGGACAACCTTTTTTCTTGTACCCCAGAAGGATGCAAAGTATTCGGTCACATGGAGGGCTCTTTGACGAGATTAGGCATATGGCTCATGGATCCCCTTAGACATCTCAGCGGAAGCCAGGACAGACAGGGGATTTTACAGGAAACATTTGCAGAGGAGTCCCTTGTCTAATGGAGCAAATCCTAGAGACATACATGGGAGTCCCACATGACTTTTGAGAATGTCATACCAGCAGAAACACTGCCAGCTTGGACTGAATGAGAGAAAGAACAAAATGAAAGAAGGTTGTCAGACTCCCCAAAATTCTACAAGCAGGAAATTGGCTGATAAAATGGCTCATCTGCAAACACATGCTGTTCTTCCTGAAAAAGGAAGAATGACTCCAAGGATGGAGCTGTGGGCCAAGAGAGCAGAGACTCGAACCACAGAGAGTTATTCCCAGGCCTTGAAAACTAATTTTGTTCTTCCTCCCATTCTGTCCAAGCTGGCAGTGTTTCTGCTGGTATGTAGCTTTCAAGGCCTGGGAAATCCATGAATCCAGTGTAATCACAGGGGTCCTTACGACAGAGAAGCAGAAAGATCAGAGTCAGATAGAGAATATGTAAGAATGGAAGCAGAGGTCAGGGAGGAGCGAGCTATAGTGCTGGCATTTAAACAGGAGGACGTGGCCACAAGCCAAGGAATGTAGGTGGTCTCTAGAGTCTGAAAAAGGCAAGGGAAGGAACTTTCCTCTTAAGCCTCCAGAAGGAATGCAGAACTGCCAATGCCTTGATTTTAGACCAGCAAAACCGATTTTGAATTTCTGACCTCCAGAACTAAGCCACCAAGCTTGTGGCAAGTTGTTACAGCAGCAAACAGGAAATAAATATAGCTGTCTCTTTTTAGAGTTCTCCCCCTTCCATCCCTTGATACCAAGTATGGGTGATACACATTTATTAAAATTAATTATCTCTGTTGCCCACGCTGGAGTGCAGTGGTGTGATCACAGACTACTGCAGCCTTGACCTTCTGGGCTCAAGTAAGCCTCCCGCCTCAGCCTCCTGAGTAGCTGAGACTACAGGTATAAGCCACCACACCCAGATACCAATAATATTTACTGAGCAACCAGAATACTACCTGGCACATAGTAGGTGCTCAACCAATGCCTTCTGAATGACTGAATAGAATCCACTGATGACTTGGTGGTGGCTTTGAGCAGATGCAGCATGCCCTCATACCTTGGAGGTGACATTGGTGACAGGACCCTTAGCAAGTTATTTACCTCCTCTGAGCTGCATTTTGACACCCATAAAAATAGATTAACAAATCCCTACCTTGCAGAATTGCTTTAAAGCAGAGGTCTGAACTGGGAATAATTTTGTCCCCCCACTCAACTCTAGGGGACATCTGGCAATGACTTGAGATATTTTTTATCACAACTGGGGCAGAGGTGTCCTACTGGCATCTATTACCTGGACACCTGGGATGCTGCTAAACGTAATAGAATGCCTGAGACAGCCCCACAACAAAGAATGATCTGGCCAAAATGTCAAGGTTGAGAAATGATTAAAGCAAGCACGGGTTCACCACTGGCATTTAAAAAGATAACTCCAGTTCTCCTAATTGAGTGTATTGAGATGGTTCACGCAGCCTTCGTGCAAACCAGACTGAGGTCGTGGCTTCTGTCTTCAGAGTCTGAGAGTGGTGGGCAATGGCAGGGGCAACAGATTCCCTGCTCCTCCCCAGGGAAACATGAGTTCCCAGGCAACCTGCTGTTCAACAGCAATTTCAGCAGCTGTAAAACTAGTAATGCTTTATGGTAGAATAATGCTCTATACTCTGTAAAACATTTTCAACACTTTCTCTCTTTTGATCCTCAGAAGGCCCATGTAAGACGGACAGGTAGAGTAAAATGCTGGGATAACATGAATTCAGTTAAGACAAGATAGCCTATTGGCTCTTAGGCTTGGCCCAACTCCCATTCTCAAAGGAGGTCAACTTAGGCTCTGTTCTGCCGGGATGGGGACGAGGCTGGGTGAAAAAACCATGGGCACACCCCTCTCTCTGCAGCCCCTATTTTGCCCAGTCGCTGTGGATCACATTCCTAGCTGGGAGACTGCTGTCACTGTCCAGGAAATTTCGGTCCCAGGGCCCAGAATCGTCTCCACTGATGTCTAAGGCAGAATGCAGCCACCAGACATGGCCAGTTCCAGGAAGGCTTTGGATCGGGCATTAGGACCCTTGAACCTGTGATCAGCTCAGTAGACTTCCTCTGGCTTCTTCATGCCCTTCACTAACTTGCAACCCCACATTTTGAGTGATTGGATTGTGGGGATCCCCCAAAATTTGAGGAACTGTGACCAGCCTTTATGCTGGTTGAACTCACAGTGATTAAGTGGCAGAGCTGTGACTTCTGCACTCTGCCACTCCTCCTTGCTCCTTCTAGGTTATCCACACATAACACAGACTCTCTTGCTTCTGTCATGGCCCTGCCAATGGGGAGGACGATATGGCAACCACCATTCATTAAGGCTTCATGCACGCACATGGGCTTAGGTACCGTGCTAAGGGCAGAGGTGGCAGTGGAGAGCCAGATGGCAAACCTCTGGCCTTATAGGAGTGCACAGTGTGGGGCGGGAGGAGACAGGCAGGTAACGTATCATGAAATATAAACAAGGGCACTTCAGAGGTGGCCGGGATTGTGAAGAAAGCCGTTGTCTGAATGACGCGACAGGGCTGAGGGAGTCCTGATGAACGGTGGTCAGGGAAGGCTGAGTGATGAAGAGCCGCCCAGTAGTGTCTGGGACACAAGGCTGTCTGTGGGTGGGGATGGCAGAGGCAAAGGCCAGGAGGCAGGAACGGCTGGAGGGCATGTGCTTCCTGGAGGGAGGCAGCAGTCACGTGGGACAGGGCTTTGTAGGCCTCACGGAGGAGTGTGGATTTTGTTCTATGTACCATGAGAAGCTGCTGAAGGGTGTTATCTGATTTCTGCTTTTATTTTTTATTAATTTATTTTTTTGAGACGGAGTTTTGTCCTTGTCCCCCAGGCTGGAGTGCAGTGGTGAGAACTCAGCTTACTGCAACCTCTGCCTCCTGGATTCAAGTGATTCTCCTGTCTCAGCTTCTCAAGTAGATGGCATTACAGGTGCCCGCCACCAGGTCAGGCTAATTTTTATATTTTTAGTAGAGACGGGGTTTCACCATGTTGGCCAGAGTGGTCTCAAACTGCTGACTTCAGGTGATCTGCCTGCCTCGCCCTTCCAAAGTGCTAAGATTACAGGCGTAAG